TCTGATGCTTATATATAGTACTGACAGAATACTAAAGTAAGCAGTACTGACTAAAGAATAACACAGTCTCATCTCTAGATTATTTGTTCCAGCCAAGCACCTGTTATGACCAAATATGGCTATTTAATAACATCAGTATGGCGGATTCAACCTAATTTCTAGTGGATAGTTCCCACCTGACAAAATATCACCCCCACAAGCAGCAGGCTCACTAAAACTCAGCAAAGAGACCTAAATCCCATCTAGCTTCATGAGCTTTAAGATTAGGGTGAGGCACATCGTTTAAGGGTATGTAAGCTCAGATGGACACTACCTAGATATGGGGCGGACAATAATTTTCTCAAGGGGGCACTTAATGAATTTTGATATGTAGTCATGGGCTGGCTCCACCTCCCCCTCCTCAGAAGAGGCAGGGTCTGGGACAAAAGTGGTGGGGTTGGGGACTAGCCTCGCCTGAAAGTTGTCTGGGCTGAAGACTTTGAATTAAAAAAAAAATCCACACACAGCAAAGGGCTCACAGTTCCTGGCCTTGCCACTACCGCTTTGCCTGGCCGCTGACCACAGTTGCTGCAGATATTTAAAAGGCTTGTGGCTCTAGCCCCTGCTAGAGTAGCGCTGCGACCAGGAGCCATGAGCCATTTAAACAGGATCTTACTGCCTTAGCTACCACCTGAAAATTTGCTGGCAAAGGCAGCAGGATATAAATAGAAAGCAGACAGATGTAGTCCATGGGCCAGATACAGCCCCCAGGCCGCATCTTGCCCAGCCCTGACCTAGATCCATATTGTAGATAAGAAGGTGTCAGTCCCCACAGCTGTCAATTACCACCTTTTATGAACACTATATTCAATACAAAAGTCTCTATGAAAGATAACTTTTCCCTTAAATCTTGACTACTTGCTGTCTGCTTAGTTGCTGCTTCTGAAAGCTGTGTGTGACTGACTGGGTTTACCACTCATCAAAAGCTCTAATTCAGCATGGCAGAGAAGAGGAACCACCCATTGAAAATAGAAGATTGAAAAATCTTTGGAAAGAACACTTTGAGGAGCTCAGATTCCATTGAAAACACACTATTTACGAAGTATACATGCTTTAGATACATAGGCTGCATATACACAATTTTACAGCACAGTGATTGCATGTTGGGAAATACCCCAGTCTCATGGAAGAGGCAGATTAAAATGTATGCCCAGTATGTGTGTGCAGCAGCGCAGATTATGTTGGAAACTGTAATCAACAGTTCTTTGCTGCATGTCTTTAGGTCCAACCCAGGCTCTGAAATAAGTATGTATGTGCACTCCGACTTAAATTTGTGTTTTCTGCTAATCCACCATTCCCAAAACAGGAACACTCTTTACTTCAAGTGCTGAAGCAAGGTGTGTTTTTATTAGGACTTCATTATTTCTGCTACAGAACGTTTACTAGTACACTAAACTCAGGCAATACAACAGTTAAGAGATATATGATTATCTTTAACAGTATTTGTTTGCTTACTTGCTAACTGGCCACAATAATTTGTCACCTGTTTCACAATCATTAATGCCCATGTGTCAGGTTTAGCTATACCTCAAAATATTTTCCTCTACACTATTCTTGAAGATATTAATATATTTGCATAAGGTCTGCTGGTTGATCAGTTATGGATGTAAGACAGCAGAGAAAAAAAGACTTCTCAGCTATATCGCTTGCTCCTCCTAGCTTCAAGGCCACTTCCCTTGTTATGTGCAGCACAATAGTGAGCAGCAGCTGAGAAAGCACATGGATCCTCATTTATAGGGGAACAAAAGAAAGGATAGAATGGTAA